ACGATACACAAACAATGTCGATCGAAGAACAGGAAGCGATTTAAAGGACTATTCGGATGTATTTATTTTGTTAGGTCTCCTGCACGGATTTTTCCAATAAAAGGAATGGTAAGTGTCATCTATAATACATAAGAACACAATATCGAATACCTGGATGGCCAAGTAATTATAGCAAACTTTATCGACAAGCTGTCCCAAAAATAACTACCTAATTTCCATCTGCATAATAATTAGTGAGATCGAAATTTAGCCAACTTCGCGACTCCCAAAGCTTTTCCAAGAAATATGACAAATGCGACTCCTTGTGATATAAATAAGTCGCATGGTGAGGTCTGTCAACTTCCATTGGTACCTTGTGGTAAAAATAAAAGAAAGGATATTAAACTGTTGGAATTGAATAACACCATCAAAAATGACTTATACTATAAACCTCAAACTGTTCTGTTTCGATTCTTCGGTAGTTTGCCAATTTGCTCTGAGCTTACATTTTGTTTCCACTATTTCAATGGCTTGACAAAAAAAAAGATTTTTTTTTATCAGTGAGGAATACCCTATATAGCCGTGTTTCAAATATCATGATAGGCTGTCTATCTCTTGAGCAGTACTAGTGATACCGGTGCGTGAAAATAATGAGGCACGTTAAGGTAACATAGCATTTCCCTCTGTAGCTGGCAGAGGTTTATATAAGGATTTGCCTGGCCATTCATGCAAGGACATCCGGGACTCAGGTTTCTTTCAAAAAGACGGGGAGTACTGGATCGACCCTGAGAAAAACGGAAAGCCTTTAAAGGTCTACTGTGACATGACAACTGATGGAGGTAAGGTATGGATAAAAAATGTAGGATAAATATAAAACTCTTAGGAGAAAGTTGTTGCTATGTTTTTCAGATAATACTCCTAAAAACTGTATCGCATGAATGCTATGTGTATCAACCCAATATTTGAAGGGTGGTGCTGTATCGGTGGGGGATAATTATAACAAAATTTTGTTTTATCTACTGAGTTGATAGTGTGCGTTGGCCGCTGCAGAGGGATTCTAAAGCTGACTTTTCGAGCGTTGTTTCATCAACTCAATTAATAAAACAAATTAACTCTATGTTTACTTTGATTTGCTGCAAGATATTTTTAACCAGAAATGTGTTTATCAGGAGGTTGGCTACTTGTTTCCAACGTTGTCGTGGACGATCCATCCTCTCGAGAGCTTTGGACTGAGTCATCATACCGCGAAATCGACAACTGCCACAGCAACAAAACGTTGTTCATCACAAAAGATGCCATGAAAGAACTAAGAGCACACGTGTCCTTCACTCAACTGAGATTCCATTGCAGGAAACAACGAGGACGTACAATCCACGTTACCACGGTCGTTAACAGCTCTGGGGAAGCTGTAGTCCAGTACTTCAGCCGTCAAACAGATGTCCAACCCTTGGCGTGTGGCTCGTTTGATAGAATGAAAGATGATAACTCCAGATTAGCTGGAATGTGTGATCAATGGAAAAGTAGGAAGTGGGGATCATCGAACGTTCCACTGGAACGATTAAACGATCATTCCCTTCATGTAGGAGGTAAATATCACTGGTTGTTAACAGATGGGAGTTCAAGATGGGAGTGTGACGACGTCGAGAAGCGTGGTGAATTTTTTGAATTATCGTCTGGCGATTTCTGGAAAGTCTATGTACGCTTAGAGCGACAATCAACTATAACTGTTTTCACAGTCCTGAAAACCTTAAGCTGCTGGCTAAGAAGTTATGCAATGTTAAATATTCCCTTGAATTTACTTGCAGTAGACTAAAATTCATAGATAA